TAAATATGTTCGACATAACCCTTTAAATATTTTATTGAACAAACTCTTTGATATAATTATTTATTTCCGAAAGATTACAATGCACACAAAAATTATATCTTCACAATAATAGTATAATTATTTAATCTAAAAAAATAAAAAAAACAATGGGGTAGAGAAAACGAAAAACACGGAATAGAAGAATTTGAAAAAGTAACAGGAAAAACAGTAGTTGTTACTGGATTATGGCTTCATTCATCAGGTGTTATAGGTGCTTCGCCTGATGGCTTAGTTGGTCAAGATACTATTATTGAAGTCAAATGCCCATACTCTTATCGTAATAATCTTTTAATTGATGCATTAAAAAATAATAAATCATACATAATATATTACGATGAAGGTGGTTTGATAAGAATTAATAAGAATCATGAATACTATGCACAAATACAAGGGCAAATTTGTATCCTAAAAAGACAAATTTGTTATTTAGTTATATGGGCAATTAAGGATTTGGTTATAGTTGAAGTTCCCAAAGATGAACAATGGGTTGAAAATATTGATAAAATTATACACTTTTATTTTAAGGAGTTTATTTATTATTTCCCTTATTTGTTAAAATAATATTTTTTGGTTTACATGTATTGTTAAAATGTGTATATTGTTAACTTTTTTTAATCTAAGCATTGTTTACTGTTACCTAGAGAACCTAAGTCAATAAAAAAACTAGGTAGTTAAATTTGTAATTAAATCATAATTTTATTATATTAAGTGTTATATACAAGTTTATTAAAAATATACATCAGTTGAAAATTACATTTTTATATTTTATAAAAATATAAATACAACTTAATCTTCTATTGGTTGTAAATAAAACATTTCTACTTCTTTAATGAGTGGATATTGGAAATTTGATAAAGCTCCACATACTTGAAATATTATTGATGCATATGGAACTAATTTTGGAGTTATAAATTCTAAGATAGAATATCCCTTTATACGATTTATAGCACGTTCAACATTAACTCTAGCTCTGGCTATAGTCAATGTTTTCATCACTTGATTTTGTGTAAATTGAGGTGCACCCAAAAATGGAGGTATATTTAATGATACTCCTTCAGGCAATAAGTCATTTATAAGAAACCCTTTATCAGCTAATATAAGATCACCACTATTAAACACATCTATAACTCCAGAATGTTTAACTATTTCTTTATCAGATGTTGATCCAGGGTATAGCAAACTACAAAAAGTCAAAACTCCGTTTGGTGCAATTCCTACTAGACCTTTTGATGTATTTCGGTGTTTATAATTGCTATAGGTGAGTTTTTGTAATTCCATTTTACTTGGTATTGCTGTATATATTTCTGTACAGTCCAAAATCATACGACAGTTCACAAAATTATTAAATACACTGGGTAAACATGCTTTATTCTTTTGTTGACTTGGAACAGAATTCATGAAAGTCTTAAATATTATAGTATGAAATGCGTGAATCCAAGTCAATACTATATTTGTAACAGTTGTACGACTACACCCAAATCTAACTCCTAAATCCGTGAAATCAAAATTATGACGTAATTTCATAAGTGTCATAAAAATTTGATCTGTTCTACTGATTCTTTCCACGTTCCACCCCAAGAAATAATTTATTGAAACATTTTAAAAAATATCAAATAATACATGAATCACAGTCTTATTAGGCATTCCAGTATAGTAAGTTATTGCTTCATCATTGTCTTCTATAAATGCGAACGAGAATGGTTGTTTTTTTAAACTATTTATTGTAGAATTAAGCCTCTCAATTTCAATCTTTAAAAGGGCATTTTCTGGTTCATCAATAATGGATCCAACCGACTTAACATTTAAATGTAAAACTGAATTCTCTTCATTGTGCTTAGTAGATTCATATAAGTTCATCTGTGACTCAATTTCAATATCTGATTGAGATGCTACTTCTGAATGATTTTCTTCAAGTTCATCAGGTAATTCTTCTTCATTGGCAACTAATGTTTTCTACAAAAAAAATTATAAATTATAATTTTAAATATTTTTTTATTTAATAATTATATTATATTAATTATAAGTTTGTATGCTGATGTTTAAGTAGATGATGTTCAATATTTTAAAAAACCAAAGTATAGAAAATAATTATAAAACTAATGAGAGAAACTAGATAATAATTAAATTAAATAATGATTGGTTTCTATTTAAGTATTAATTTAAATTCAAATTAACTTAAGGTTTAACCTCAAATTTATCAAATTCTAAGTAAACCACACTTTTGAAAATGTTCTTTTAATAAAAAATAGTGAATATAATATATATTGCATATTAAGTAAGTACTAAACATCAACACTTAATTTTATTTTAATCCAAAGCTTGCTATTGCAATTTAAAAATAAAACTACATTAAAACATACTGAGATAGGTTTTGGTATCCGTTTATTTCTTTTCTCTGGGGAAACACATAAAAATCTTTTTTCTTTATTCCAACTGAATATTGTTGGATTATTTTCTTTTAGACCATCAATAAAATGCCAGCTGCAAACTCGGGAGTTCACACTTGGACATCTGTCAGACCTCCTTAAAAATATCAACATAAACATTCAATTAAAGTGTAATTATGAAATATAGGTAACACATACAAGCTAGGTGTACAATTTAAATAGAATATATTTAACAATCAAAATAAATTAATATAACTAATAACTACCTTATATTTTTTGTCCATTTTAATTTTAACAATTTATTCACAGGAAATCTAAAAAATTTACATATTTTTGTTTCGCTGTAATGGTTACAATTTGGTACAAAACAATTGACCATTATGAACAACCTATACAATAAATTAAAAAAATTAATAACATTGTACATATTAAACAAAATACCTTTAAAAATATGAATTTGTAATAAAAATATTAATATACACAACTATAGTTTAAACTCACCTGAAGTCAACGTAGTTAAGTAATTTAACAATCGTCAAAATAAATCAATATTCGCTGTTTTATAAAAAAAAGAACGTTAAATCATAGTCAAGAATACAAATACTGAACACCGCAACTTGTTTAAAGAACTTATTAATGCGATTAATGCAATTTTTCTCTAAAAACTTTAAAATTATGCACAATTCTCATACAGAAATCGTTTTGTTTGAAACCAGATATCCTTATCACTAATTGATTATATTATCATGACGTCATTACTACCATACTCTATACCCTTCCTATCTTAGTGTATACAACAGCGAATACGCGGAAAAAAACACATTTTGACGCCACCCATTCGCGCTCTCTCATGGAACAAAGTATAGTATTAATCAAATCTTTTTTTTCCATATATGAGATTTACGATATAACATAATAATTCTATAATACGGTATACACAAAGTTCCACGTAATACGATACGATATTTAGTAAATCAATATAATGCACACTGCTATTTCGTTTTCGTGTTAACCTACCATTGTCTAACTAAATGCAATTTCATTTAATTTTCGTCATCGACTCGATCAAGACCTTAGTTTTGTCTATGATTCAAGCCTCCGACGACCTTTGTAAGTACCTATACTAAATAATCAAAATAATACTATGCTGATAATTTTACTCCTATATTTTAGTTTATAATTACAATAACAAGATAATATTATATTAAATTTTTAATAACCATTGTCTTAAACACATTCATACACTTTTAAGCCTCGTCCAGGTCAAAGAAAAATTTGTCGGAAACACGTGTTTTCAATATTATATATTATTATTTTTATTATTATATTATACATTATTCCGGTTCCAAATAATTTCGGTTCTGGTTATTGCTAATATTTAGTAGGTAGGAATATTAAATAAAATATTATTTTATTTTTAATAATTTGTATTTATATGTAATAGGTATAGGTTAGGTTATGTAATGTTCTTACAAAAATATGAAAATCAAATAAAATGTAATCGCAAAATCAAGATAATCTAATATTGTATACCTAATCAGTAATCTCTAGTTAAACTGTTTAACTAGCCAAATATCTAGGATTAATTAATTTTCGGTTAAAGTCTAAAGAATCTGTATCACACGAATAATGATTAGCAAAAAGGCACAATAAGTCATAGTCTGGGAAAAATGAAGCTTTTAGATTAAAGGCACTTACTCCACATAAAATATTAGAATTATTGATAAATCTGTCATTGACAATGTTTTCGAAACTAGTGACACACATTTAATATTTAACCATATTATATTATAGTTGTGACAACCTATAAACAAGTAGGACTTGTACATAAATTGATCACAGGCTGTCTACCGTCAATGTTTAACTTCACGGGCTCATTTCAAGTCTAACCAATCAGTGAAAGCCGGCCATCTATTCAAAATCGATTAACGTCGAGTGGTGTTGTGACAACCTGAAAAGTGGAGGGCTTGTACATAAGCTTGTCACAGGCCGTCTACAGTCAATAATTTGTTCCTTCGGAGAAGTTTTCTAAAAACTCCCCGGAGGATTCAACTTCACGGGCTGATTCAGTGATTCAGTCTCCACCAAGCTTATGATACAAGTCTGAGGATACTTTTTCAGTTTTTGTCACAACACCAAACAAGCTGCAAATCTAATATTTTGTGAGTTTTATATTCTTAATTTTGTTGTATGTGGTACATTATTATGGGTATGTTCGAGCCACTCATTAAAATAATACATTGGTATATAATTCTTTCTTTATTAGTTGGTATTAATGGTATTATGTTAAATATATCTTACTAGTTTACTATAGTGAAAAATTAATAAATTTACGATTAATAAATAATGTTGATTAAGTTATGGAAATGGTACTAGGTCATAATATCTTCGAAATCATTTTTAACTTTTTCCAAAATTTCCCTGACTTGTATTTTGGCACCATTTGGTGCATGTGAATTAATTGATTCCTTTAGTTAGGTTAGTTTAATAATAGATTAAATGTTTTGAATAGGTCACAAACAACCAACATGTCAGGAACTATGGCGGCAGCCAATCCAGGTAGAACTTCTATTCAAGAGGAACAAATTTCATCCAAGAATAATGGCAATTGTATGCATTTCAAAAAAATAGTTGCTAGCATAGTAAATGAATATGCATCAAGACATATAAAAAAAGAAATTAACACAATGGATTCTAATGATATAACTAAGTATTTAAACGAATTAAAACACCAAAGATCAAATCTAGTTAACTGCATTTCTGATGTTATATTTGGTACCAACAAAGTTCAAAAAGAAGTAAAGAAAACTATAGATGCTTGGTTACGTTCAAAACACACAATAAACAGAGTAAATATATTTTGTTTTAATTATTTATATACAATATATTATGTATTAAATATTCAAATGTTCTTTACTAGGTCCTGTTCCCAAATGCAGTTGTTGGTTTCAGAAAAAGGCCTTGTGGCTTGAAATTTGCTTACCCAGATTATAAAATTCAATATAATAATTGGGTTGATGTTTTCAACTTTGCTCATACATTTAATCCGTGCCAATATACGATAGATACAATTAAAAATATTCTCGCCACCGGAGTCAGAAACCCAGCTGACGGGGAAATAAAACAGAAAAAGGCCAAGGGTATGGTATATTACTATGGTCAAAACATACAAACTTACTAAACAATTATAAATTTCATAAATTTATTTGTTTTTAGATTAAGAGACAGAAGTTTCCCACGCGTGGAGAAAGTTCTAGACCTTCCGAAGACCTCTGTGGAAGGGTATCTAGTGAAAATTCAGATAGTGACAATGATGTTTCTATGAGTTCAAGCTCAAGATCTGATTCCTCTTGGAGGTATCCAAGTCTTGTTGATGATGATGATGATGATGATGAGGTATCAACAATAAGAAGAAGAAAGGCCGAAAGAGCTGCTTATGGTATAGTATCATCTGATGACGAAGAAGAAAATGTATGAAGTTTATCATATACATTTTTTTATAATTATTATTTATTTGAATTAAATTTTTTCCCTAGATAAATAAGAGTTTTGGGAATTTGGAAGTCACCAGGGATTCAACTCCTGGGTAATAATTTGAATATTTAATTTGAAAACATAATTTCCATATTATATATTATACTTTTTTGATTATTATTATTTATACTCTTATGTATTTCAGCTGCTCGGAAAATATAGAAGAC